TACTATGTAAAATAACATACTCTAGTTAGGCATGGCATTGACAATCCTGGATACCAAGGCAGCAGTAGGCCACATTCCAAACCTATGTGATCTATCAAGCAGGGCAGGCCCAGTTGTCATTACTCAGACAAAATGTTCCCCTACTCTTTATGCTAATTTAACCCAAGAGATATTGGGAAAATTCACTATCATTTACCTCTCCTCCTCAAATTTGTTTGGGGATTTGCCTCACTGAGATCCAGCTAAAAATATTCATAGAAATTCGATAAAGCTTAAAAGTACATGGACCCTAAAGCAGAAAAATTAGAAACATTTACAGTCATCTATCTTTCTGAGAACTGCAGTGGCTGGGACATAGAAAGGCTGGGAAGATTTACATAGCCAGGATGGGATTCTACATCAGTACTCAAGGAGAATAGTCATGCTCATAGAAGGTGAAAAAGCAGAAATGGAAACTATGGAGAACATGATTAGCTGGCAGTCTATATGGTCTCATTCTGTCCAGTGATTTTGTTTAATCTGATTATGACACCTTTATAGGATAGTGATGAAAATCTGTGTCCCAGCGACCACACTAAATTCTCTTTTCGAATGACTCATGAATACTATTTATGGTAGATGACCTGCATATATCATAAGCCTGATTTATGTGTTTGCATAGATTATCACATCTGGATATGTGGGGCATCTTTAAAGTACACAGGCATGTAAATTGCACACATTTTATTTATTTTGGTACCTCATTGCATGATGCTGGGAAGCAGTTGAATCAAGAATTCAAAGTTCTAGGCCTCTTCCAACCCAGCAGGAGTCCTTCATCAGACCACAGACTTGTCTACCTATGAAACAAACTCTTATAAACTGATGGCTCTTAGTACTCTTTAACAGGAATCACCCTATTTTTCATTCTATTAACAAGCCAGTGCAAACTATAGTTTTGCCTAAGTTATTTGTCTTTCTCCCTTCTTGGTCCATTCTTTGGCTACATCTTAATTCCAGATGTAATTTACTTTTATACTAATTTTCTCTGCTATCACTAGAAAACAGAAAAAAATCACTGAAAAGTCAATTCCTTGTAAGATTATTTGGCAAATATATCCAGCACATGGCCTTTTTAAATAGCAAAACATATCCTTTTCTATGGTGAATATTTATAGCTCACTGTCTTGAGTCAGTGTTCTATTGTTGTGAAGGGACACCACAACCATGATAATTCTTAAAAACGGAAGTGTTTAACTGGGAGCTCACTTACAGTTTCTGAGGTGTAGTCCTTTATCATCGTGATGGGGAACATGGGAGCATGCTGCTAGGCATGATGTTGGAGCAGTAGCTGAGAGATACATCCTGATCCATAGGCCAATAGAGAAACTGGATCTGGCATGGACTTTGAAATTTCAAAGTCCAATCCCAGTGACATATTTTGCCCTGAAAGTTCAGTTTTCGTAATCCTTCTAATTCTTTAAAAGAGTTCTACTCTCTGGTGACTAAACATTCAAACATGGTGGCCATTTTTATTCTAACCACCACACATTAAAGCACATGGAAGACATAGCAGTTTGTAATGTGTGCTGGTTTCATATTATTAGGGAGCATACACACTGACCACCTTTAAATCTTAATTTTGCGGTAAAGGAGTCGATCAGTTTGTTCAGTTGCCCTGTGGAAGAGACAGATATTTAACATATAATTTTGCAAAAACTAATCAGCTAAGATACACCATGGTATTAGAGTAAAATTTGGAGCTGTTAAGATTGTTGGACAGGATGTCTGACCTTGAAGTAAAGATATCCTTCAATGAAGCTTTTTGCTATATTTCAGTTACTTTGTCCTCTGGCTCTTAAAATTTCTTAGAATATAGGGAATTTCTCATTTTCCACATAATAGAAAATCCAATCAATATGAAACCATGCTCCACACTATAGTCTTCACTGATCCCATATGCCTTCTGATCTCTCACTAATTTAGAAATTATTCTGAGTTTTTTTCTTTTTTACATACCTCAGACAATAGATACTTACTAAGCCAACCATTATATGTTGGATAGTCAGAGGTAAAAGCCACATGTTCCTGCACTGAAACAGCCGTGGTTGGGATGCGGAGATGTTAAAACTTGTCAGCATTGACTATTCTAAGACAAGAACCCGGGAAGAGTTAGTCAGTGTGGAAGATGGAGGTCAGATGGCTGTTGACTTCCAAAGAAAAATGGTAGTAGGAGACACCAAGCTCTTTCTTCACCCCACCCCCTTTTAAAGATTAAAATATAACTACATTTTCCCTTCCCTTCCCCCCTAGATATCTCCCATATGCCCTTCCCAGTTCTCTTTCAAATCCATGACCTCTTTCTTCCATTAACTATTATTTTATGCATGTATGCATATGCATATATATTCATAAATATAACCTGTTTGGTCCACTGAATGTGTATGTATGTTTTCAGGGCTGACCATTTGGTACTGGACAGCCAATCTGTATGCCCTTCCCTGGAGAAGACCACCTCTCAGCTCCCCATTCTCTTCAGTTACCTATGGTTCTCTGTGTAAGGCTGAAGCCTCATGGACTTTTCCCTGCCCACATTGGTGTCACCCATGTTCAGCTCCCACTTAGACAGTCATGTTGGTGAGACTTTATTGTTGAAAGCTGTCTTGTCTTCACACTCTAATAATTTTTCTAGTTGTGGGGACTGTTTTGTAGATGTATCTGTTATTATTGGAGTAGTGTGATGATACATTAGTTATGCTTTATTAAAGCTTGCCTGAGGATTCAGAAAGCAAAGGCAGCCACAAGCTTATAGAGGTCAGGCTGTGGTAATACACACACATTTAATCCCAGCAGTCGTACTAGCTAACTAGACAGTGATGCCACACACCTTTAATCCCAGGACCCAGGAGACAAAGGCAGATGGATCTCTGTTAGTTCAAGACCACCCAGGGCTACACAAGAGTGAATCAGTTGAAAAGATAATTACAGCTCATGCCTTTAATCACAACCCTAGAGAGGCATGTATAAGACAAGAGTCCAGTGTCTCAGGCTGCATTCTGAGAATCAGTCTCTAGCCACACTGATGAGAGCATAGCAGTCTGAGTGAATCTGAGGAGCAGTGACGTTGGAGCAGTCTAAGAATCGCCCCTTTGGTCTGAGCTGAGGTAGAGGTAAGAGCTAGTGGCTGACTGCTTTACTTTTCTGATTTTTCAGCCTGAAGCTTGAACCCCAATATCTGTCTCTAGGTTTTTGTTATTCGTGCTACAGAGAAGAATCTACAAAACCAGAATAATCCCTAATAACAATCTACAAATTTTTTCCTTATTCACACAGTGCAGTCTTTATCCTTCACAAGGAAATTTCTTTTTGTGACACATGGAGACCACTACAGAAACTCACAACCAATCTACATCCCAAGTAGTAGGGACATGTTCTTTCTTAAAGAGTTCCATCCATTCAGAGATCTGTATGAATGCAGGAGAGGGCAGCATAAGTAGGAGTCAGAGTTGGAGGGATATAGAATTGGGATTACGGATGTGAGAAACTTCTTTTAAAATGTGAGAAAAAGCATCAAGACTCCATTGGCTTTACTGTGAGTAGATCGTTCTGGAAGTATGGGTCCTGAGAATGAGTTAGAAGATGTTTGACCATGAGTCTGGGAAAATGGTAATGAGCCTCACCCAAGAGCCAGAATGAGAGGGAGGGAGTGAACTAGGGATTATGGTAACAGATACACAAGCAGAAGAGAAAAGGCATTAGGAGAAATGGAAAACTTAGGATGTACTAAAGGGTAAGATCTTGTAATGCGGCACTGTGAGAGTAGGGAATGTTGTGAGATTCCCAGGTATTCCACTCCAACTGGGAGGCAGGAGTTTCATTATGTATGGTAGACATGAGAAACATAAGGTCACATTATGGGTAGATGGGTGCTCTTATGGCCCTGTACCAGGTGGAGCTGCCTGGAAAGATGCTGAACCAATGATGGTGTCTCACAGGAAGAATGTCTAACCAGAGTAAATCAACTTGGACAAAGTAGTTATAAGTATATAAAGCAAGTTCTTCTATATCTCCTAGATAGGAATAGTCTCCCACCAGAAAGATCACAGTTTAAAGTCCGAACTGCATAAACTCTTAATAGTTGTACTTGAAGATTCACTCAATAATGTTTGGATGAAGAAAACCCGTTATGGCATAGTAAAAGCACCCAAGACAATCGTTATAGTATGTATGAATGTATGTGTGGTACAGCTACGACTTAAAGAGCTGTTTCCAGATACAGAGGTAGTAGTTGGAGGATGCAATGGCTTCAGAGTGTAAGCTTGGTGTGTGTGTGTGTGTGTGTGTGTGTGTGTGATTTACTCTATGGCAACATTAATACATTTGACATCCAAAGTGACATTTCCTTTGAAAAAGAATATGCCGTTTGGTCTCTGTTACAAAATTTTCCTTTAGTCAAAAGAAGGAAAGGTTGAGTTTTAGATTTTATGATTATACTGGAGTATAAAATATTCTTAAAAATAGAGTTTTATTTCATTCTGTATGTTTTTATCCATTTACACACAAGCAACACCTTTAAATCACAGCCAATTATTTTCTCTTGCTGCATTCGAACAAGTCGGTAAATGCTAGTAAAGGACATGCATCCTTCCAGGATGACAAGTCACCAAGATGTGTCTTTCCAGTGAAGATGCTGCAAGGGAACTGTGGGCACTCAAGGCAACTTTCACTTTGGTTTCTTTTTAATGTTGGAAGTAATTCTGTATTTTAACCATGACCTGTTTCATAACTCTCTTGGACTTCCTTTGATCTTGTTCAACCTTTGTCGGAGTTGATGCTCTGAGAAAAAACTCCTAGGACTTGGGCAACCCTGGCCCAGAGGCCAGGTGACCGAGACTGGGTGGGGACCCGCGGGGTTCTGTGGGCGCGGAGCCTCTCGCATTCCAATCTCCTCCCACCATCATCCCTAGCCCGGAGGCGGAGAGGGCTGCAAACTTCGCTCCAATCCGCAGCCGCCCTCCCCAGGGTCCCCCTGCTGGGCGACGCGCCCGCTGAGTCCTGGAGTTGGTGGAACTTTGCAGATAAACTGCTCGGGAGAGCTAGGGAGGGAAGCTCCCCGCCTCCCCACATTCCGGGCTCCCCTGCCCCCGCCTCTCGGTCCTCGCCCAGTCGCCGGCGCTGGTGATAGGACGAGCCCCGGGCGTGCATTGTGTGTATGCAAAGCATCGCCCCGCTGCTGGGGCAGCTGGATCGGGGACTCCGCTGCTGCCGCGGCTGCAACTGGCGCTGCGGTATATGCTGCTGCCACGGGTGCCGCCGCCCCAGACTGAGCCCAACGCTGTCATGCTCCTGCGGCAGGGCGGGGGGCAGCGTCGTCCCGTCGCTATATAAGCGCGAGCGGAGGGGGCACCCGGAGGGGCTGAAAATGAAGGTGCCCGCGCATGGGCCGCCGCTGATTGCCAACCCCTCCCGAGCTCGCTCCCGGCGTGGAGCCCGAGGCCGCCGAGGACCCGCCTTCGCCGCAGTAGCAGCAGGAGCAGCGACGCGGACAGCAGCTGCGGCGGCGGTGGCGGTGGCGCCCCTCGCGCCAGCGCGTAGAACGGCGGCGACTCCGGGGCCGCCGCTGGCCCCGCTGCCATGAGTTGTGCGGAGGTGATGTATCACCCCCAGCCGTATGGAGCGCCCCAGTATCTGCCCAACCCCGTGGCTGCTGCAACCTGCCCCACAGCCTGCTATCATCCGGCGCCCCAACCTGGCCAGCAGGTGAGTCACCGGCCGGGCAGCCTTCCGGGGGCGGGGACGAGGGGCACCCGGTATCGGTTGTGGGGCTCCAGCCCTGTCCCGCCGGGACCCGAGTCACGGAGGATGCTCTGGGAACTGCGGGGAGCCAAGAAAGAAAAAGATAGAGGGACAGAACGGCGGGTGGCAGGGCTGCGATCCCCGGAGAGGCTTTACCTGGCCGGGGGCTTCTTTGAGCTGTGTCACCTGGTCTCAGAGGCTGCTGCTCCTAGCTGCGCCGGTCCTTAGGACTCAGTTCTCTGAAGCTCACCAAAGGCATCTGTCTTAGGACTGTGTGAGTAAACTTTTTACCCGAATACTTTGTTTCCTTGGGCAAGTGGAGTATTCCGGCGTTTTCTGGATTTAGACCAGAAGGTGTGCCTCTCACTGAGGTAGCAGAGGTTACCTGAACAGCGAGTTCACGAAATTATCGTTCTGGGACTTTTAGGGTGAGAACTCTGGTCTGATAGAAGACGCAGTCAGTGTTTCTAGAACTTCTCCGTTGTCTTTCTCCCCGGGGCTGTGATACAGATGACGGGTAGCCCAAGAGGCTCTTCATTCATTTTCTGTTTCTAAGGAAGCCCAGAGCTTGTCGGTGGTGTCCATCAGCAGGTCTGTGTTTCTCAGCCCAGAGGTAGCCTTGAGTATCGGCATGTCCGGGCCCCACCCAGCCAAGACATTGAAAATGTCAGTAATAAGGACCTGGCATCTAGAGGATGACAAGGAGGAGTAGACACTGGAAAACTTGACACTAGGGATCCTTGAGTATTACTCTGTAGCCACATAGCAAGTGCACCAAAATTTAGTTAGCACTACATTAAAAACCGTAAAACGCACATGTGGCAAGGGACTGTCCTGGAACAGAGTCTTTGGACTATGGCGAATAGAGTAGGCTGACTTCATTGAAACTTAAAAAGACAGCTAGATACAGTTAGAAAATAACGATTTATGCAATTTATTGCCTTGTTTTCATTTCTTAGGAACTGTACGTTTTATTCTGACCTTCATGGTTTGGCCCTTGGAAGAATCTGACCCTTGAATTCCTATTTTTCCTTTGCCTCTGTCTCTTTTCTAGAAGTACAGGGCTACTCACTGGGAAAGAGAGGATTGCTCTCTGTTTGGAATGTAGTGGCTGTCAAATTCAGCTAACTCTGAAAGGGTACAAATCCAGGATTCACTGTTAAACAGCCCATCTTAATGAAGACCAACGGGACATATGACAGAAGAACCCAATTTCTTGCTAGTATTAATTTATTTACTTTAATATTTGACAACTTTACCATTTCAAAGCAAAGTGACTTTTGATGAGAGAGATGGGCAAACATTCTTTTCTATTTTGTAGTCAAGGGTGACAATTGAAAAAAATTTGGCCACTCCTATTTTCTTTGTCATATCCAAAATAGTAGTATTGTAGGTTCAAGCAGTGCAAAGAGATCTTGGTTATTTCTAACACCCAGTTCTTCATGAAGCATCCTTTGCTCCATCTCTGATACTGTAGAGGCCTTTAGTTATCAGTTGGAATGTGGATGAGCAACAGACTGAGATGTTTCTAAATATTCAGAGAGATAACTTTCTCTTCTGAAAAAGCAAGGAATAGTAGAAGTTGTGATTAATGTCTCTTATATAATTATAGAATTAATTCCATTAAAATAGGAGTCGATAGTAGAGGTCAGCATTATACTCTTTCAGCTTAAAAAATCAAACTCTTTATTAGACAGCTTAAACATCACTAAAGTACTTTATCTTATTTTGTGATATCCCTAAATTTCAACCCCAAATTCCATTCTTTTGTTAAAACTATCAACAAAATGAATTAAAAATGAGACACAAAGTTAGTACAAACTGTCTGTGTTGAGAAGTTACACAATGCCCAGCTTCTGTTATAATCTGAACTTGTATAGATATCCTTTAAGTAGATGGTTGGCTGAGTTTGGAAGAATTTAGTTTGAAGGGTGTACCTGGAAACTTTCATACTTCTCTGGCTAAGTAGCTTATTTGATATTCATATTTTTTCTCTGGTAAATAAACTATTTGACTATTATTGGCTGATAGACTAAAGGAAGTCAGCGGTGTCACCCCTGTTCTTTTACTGTCACAGTTTATTTTGGTGACCTATCTTTTCTATTGGAAGAAAGAGTAAGTCAGGACATTCTTATCAGCCTGACAACATTTTTAGGCTATGCAGTGCGTGGGTGAAGTGGGACTAATATTGGCTTGGCCCTAATGCAGTCATCTGAGAATACATATTTTGGTTGTTTTTTTGCATTCCATAAGGTTTTATCACTATTCTCCATGAAGGTTGTTTTCGCCGTACATGGGGTTTGACCCCTAATAGCATCTTGCTTGAGAGACAATAATGAGGGCTACAACTATTCCCAAATTAAAACAAAACAAATACAAAATCAAACCAAACATTTGATTTGTTGAGGAGGAAAAAAATGAAAGGAAACATAAAATACGACAGTATAATCTAAAAGTCTTAATATTTATCTATGCAGTAAGTGCTGGATGGCAGGCTATAGAAATGTTCTGTTTCTGCATGCAGTTGTAGTAATGTATCCCTTAGATGTTATCTCTCCTCAAAACTGGAGATCTAAAGTTCTTGTGTCTTCACTTTTTGCTTTTTTTTGGAAGAAAAGGGTATCAAATGTGGATTCTCACATGTTCTAGGCAAGCAGTATACCATTAACACACACACACACACACACACACTTTCTTCTGAAGTTCTTATAAATCAGTATATCAAAATAGTTCATTATGATTGATCTTAAGCATGGGTGCACTTTCCCTCACTGAAAATTACAAATGAAAGAACTTTGTTTTCCAACTGTATGTACCACCAGCTTTCCCTCTACACCGGAAAGTTTTAAGTTTAGGTTTTGATTGAACGTTTGGTAGGTGTAGGTAGGTAGCAGATGAGAGTTTTAAAAGCCTAGTAATCTGTGCACAGTGACTACACCACAGTGTATTCCTCCAGTTAAACTAATCAAATTAATCTGCAAATGTCTACAGAGTAAATTTATGATCCATGGAGTTAACTCCTAGAGACTGTGTGCTGGGCTCCAGTCTTCCAGTGAACTTCGTAGAGACGGAATTTGGGTGAGAGATTCAGGGCAGCCTAGTCCCCAGCCTCATCATCTCCCATAGCCTCCAGACAGCCCTCCTCCATCTCTCCCTGGGAGAAGCCTTGACTCAGTCTCTGCACATGGTCTGAGGCTGATGACACTGCAGAACGTGAACAGAAAGGAATGTGCTTGTATTCTACCAGTGACAGTAGGAAACAGCACAAAGTTTCGAAAGACGTGTCAGGAAAAATTGAAGGCAACAATATGAAATCATAGATTCCCTACATACCCAGTGGACTTCTCATCTTAAAGGCAGGCAGTCTGTTGTCTAACTCCCCTCCCATATTAAGAATGGCAAATTAGGAATACACTAAAGGTCAGGCTTTCACATGAAATGACAGAGAGCAGTAGGTGAATCTCTACATCTATATAGATTTTTAGTGGCCATTTTCAGCTTCCTGTAAATTAGAACATGTTCACTCTCTCTTCTTCAAGGATAACAGCTGGGTTATAATACACACAGGCCATCTCTTTTAAAAAAAGAGAAGAAAAAAGGTTTGTTTGGGGGGTGTGGAAGAGGCAAAACTCCAGTAACGTTTATAAGGAGCTTTTCACACTCATTGTCTGTCTTCTGCTACCTTGATTAAGTAACAAAATGACTCTGAGATTCTGTTTCTCACATGGGAAAACCCTAAAGGGTGGGGAACATATTATAGATGGGAAAACTCAGGCCCATGGGGCTGGAATTCCTGGCTAAAATGTCTGTCCTCATTGGTAGCAGAATCAGGACAGCAGACCTCTTTTCCTGGAGTAACAACCATCTACCACATCATGTGCTTTGCCAAGCATTTCCCCCTTGTTACACAGCAGGTTAATTTTTGTCTTTAGTACCCCATCAACTGGTTTTTTCGGGGAGTGGGGTAAAGAAGATTAATATGTAGTAGATTCTTTGGCCTTGGAGCTTGATATTTTTTCCAAGTCCTTGGTAGTGTACTTTTTAAAGTTTAGAAATGCCAAATCTCTTTTGCAAACCATTGTATTGTGCTAATGACTCTTGCTCTCTGTGTTACACACTTTTTTGGAAGTTGTGTACTTACCTAGCAAATGAACATTTGTTAATTTGAAATAAAATGCACCCAGTGCCATTAAGTACCATGTGTAGGTGCCTCAGTTTTATTGGTAATCAAAAATAGAGTTAGATTCATTCACAGGGAAGAACTCAGTTTTAACATAAATAGCTTCACTGCAAAGTCAAATTATTTAAGGCTGAGGATTTAGTTTTCTTGTAACTGCAAGCAAGGACTTAAGTATATTTGTAAAGATTAATATAGGGCTCCTTTGAAAAAGAGCAGCCTCTGTAATTCCATGATACACAGGTTAACTGGACAGCAAAGCCTTAGGAGCTTAAGTTGTCCAGAGTTTCATGTTCCTGGTAGCTTCCCAGCAAAAAGAAGTCAGAGACAGAAACAGTTAAGCGTTAAAGTAACCAAAGTGTGGACAGACCAGTGATTCAGAATGGAGATGATGACAGTGATACCAGAGAGGGTGGGACTGAGATCTAGAGTCTCACAGAGTGAGGATTCAGCTAGAAATCAACCACTAGGAAATGGTACCACTAGAAATATAATAGAAAATCATGTATCCAATGTGCAAGAAGCACCGCTTCCCCCAGCGTTTGGTAAACTCTCCAAAAAGCTTGGTGTGGTTCAGGAAGGACTCCCATCAAGGGGGATGGTGTTCAGAGAGGAAGCCCTGCCCCTTTGCTGCAGGTCTCTTTCCAGCATGGCAGGTGAGACACTTAACTAACCCCTTTGGACCATCTGTGCAGAGAGAATTTCCCAAGAGACAAAAGCAATTATGCACGTGATGCCTAGGGCAGGTCCTGAAGTCAAATTGTCAGGTAGAAGGCTGTTCATTCCA